TTAAAATAAATATATATCAGTAATTTTATCATTTACGAATGTTTAAGAGAGGAAAAACAGTAAAACTTTCAAGAATTGGAAGTACTGTACAGTAATTCCATTTACAAATTTTAGATTTTGTTTGTTGATTTAGCATACATTTTTTTATTTTATTTGTAAATATATAAATAAAACTAAAATATTCTTTGTGAGAATTCACTGCCAGGGACCAGCTTGAAATCTACTTACTTTAACTTGAAGTGTTTTTCACTGTAGAAGAAAATTCAAGCGATAGTCACAGTGCCATTTGGATGGAAGACATCCACTTGTCCCTATTCCAGTTTTGGAAAGTTTTTAACCTTTTAATTGGATATATTTTTTCATACTTTTAAGAGAATTTTAAAATTTATTTGATAATAAAGTCTTTAAAAAATTTGATTTGAGTCAGATCATCACAATGTATTCCAAAATGAAAATGAATAAAGAGTGACTATTTTGTCTTAATTTTGTATTTCCATTCAGTATTGCTTAATATGGATAACACTGATATACAAAACAGCATGGATGAAAAATGAGATTTAATGCCCAATTTACATTTCTTGTCACAAGGTCATCCAGACAATTGTATTCAAATGTAGTCTTACTCAATGATAGCAGAATAGACAACTGGATGGCCAAGGTAAAGGTGTTAGCCTGACATTCCAGGGGACCTGGATTCAAATCTGAATTGGACCTTCTGATATCTGAAGTGGCTTGACTCATGATAGGTATCATCTGTCATTCCCTAACCATCCTATTGTTAACCTACACTTGATGGGCATAACAAAAAGCTCTGGTAATGTTCATAATGTAACAGTTTATATATTTATAAAATACGAATAATTTTCTCCAATGACATAATTACTGTATGCAATGCCTGCCATTCATACAAACTTTGAAATGAAAGGAACCCATAAAAATTTTTAAATTTTTAAAAAAGTTTCTTGGAGTAATTGAATAAATTCATTTCCAGTTGTGGTGTTGCTTATCTCCTAAATATGATATTTCTGATCCTTTTTCGAATTTCTATACTTAAAATACCTATACAATAGAATTTAATTCCAATGTAGGCTTTGATTGTTAGCAATTACTTTTGGTTTATCTGAATACATTTCGCTATTGTATTCATATTTTTTAAAATATACATTATTCTAAAACCATATACAGGGTATTTTAATCGCATATATTCGCACAGGCTAAGCAATCTGTAAATACATTATTTTGTTATTTGTTCTGAAGCGAATTGAAAGTGATCTTATAACAATATTCCTTTAGCCTGTATAACAACTGATTTTTTTAGCGATAAACGGAAAAAACAATTATAAAAAATACAAGAACGAAGTGAAATAAATTATAATTAGCAGAGCAATGGCATTGCATTTGAAATGGGGCAAATGCAAAGGGCCGAAAAATGTTAAGAATTTATAATGGAAAAATTAAATTACTGGCAACATTTAGAAATATACGTTTAATTTCTGAAATCTTAAAAAAACGAATTTAAAAAATTACAAAACGTTAGTTTATCTTTAATTTTAATTTTAAAAATATTTTTATTATTACAAATGACATTATCAATCTTAATTAAAAACATTGATTTTGAAATATTTAAAAAAAATTTAAATTCAAAATAATTTTCAACGGGTTCAATTATTTTTCTTTCACAAAATCAGGAAAACAAAAAGGAGGGGGCACTGACTAGCCTACATTATCGAGTCACGCGACCAAATTATTGCGTGCAATGCTTCCAACAAAGCAGTCGTTACAAATAACGCAAAGTCATCTTTATTTTCTTTTTTACAAATTTCACAATTTGCAAACCCGTAGGAAGATACTGACTTAATATCAAAGTGATTTCTGAATCACTAAACTTGCGCAACAAATTATAACACTATCGAAAATCTTGCATCAGAAAACGCACTTTGCATTTAAAATAACGTCTATATCTTAACACAAGTTATTGCAAATGATTAGGTTTTTTGACAAAATACAATAAATTGTATACGTACAAGTGTATACGTATAAATGAAACCCTTATTTATAATTGATTAAAATCATTTTATATGGATCTGGGATAACCTCAAATTTAATCGTTGAGTATCGAAGTTAAATAATAAGATACTAATTAAGTAGGAAAGCCGCTAAATCGGGATTCCAGTTGATTAACACCGGGTAACAGCGCATTAGTCTATATGGCAGGCCACGGTTACGTGTATTGGAAACGAACCTATAACCCGTAATGGGGTCGACCGGTAAGGACGAAGAATGGAGCGGGATACGCCGATTCGCGTTACTCGTGATAAATAGTAGGATGTAGATCGGGTTCGAATTCGAAACCTTCGCGGCGAATGGGGTCTATCGAGTAGGTATATTTCATTAATGTACGGAAATATTTAAATTATATCATCTTTCTACTAGGGTATTTTTTAAAGTTATTCTATAATTAACGACATCAACATTTATCATCTTATCTCGTCGTCTGACAATACGTGAATTAAGATCGAATAGATAATACTACACTTAAATTCAATTTTATAAATTTTAATGTATTAATAGCATAAATATTGGGTCCGCGACATATAATTTCATTATTTTTATTTAAGAAAGATGGAATACTATACTAGCGGATTAAAATAAATATATATCAGTAATTTTATCATTTACGAATGTTTAAGAGAGGAAAAACAGTAAAAATGATCCATAAATTCGCGAATGATGTAAAGTTCTACAGGAGAATCAATTAATTTTCGAAGAATATTTACTAAATTTCCTGTTAGAAATAATTACTTTTAGATTTAGTTGATTATTTGATGTTATTTGTCATTTTTCGCGATTAATTTAGAATTTTCCTGTTTCCCACTTCTTTTTAATCGGGTCAAAAGCTGAAGGGCCATTATTTAGACCATCACTTGATCGACCAAGCTTATCTCGAAATTTAAGACTACGGAAATTTGATATTTTCTAAGTTCTTTATTTACTAACGTTAGTATGTTAATTACTCAAAATAACGAAAAAAATATGAGAATGAAATGAATAAATGTCGATTAGTTGTATCGGACAGACTGATTTACCATTGGATGATCGGATTTTCTATGTAAATATGTAGCTATTGTAACTAGAAATTAATTTTCTAAACAAATATTTTATAATTAGGCATTTAATGTTTGGAGTTTTGACCTTCTTTAATAATAAAAACTTGTCGAATATCGAGTAAATCTGGCATTAATAAAAAGTCATAATTAAAAAACAGATTAATATAGTAAATCCACTTTTATGACTTAGCTGGCTGTACGATAACTTTCCTATCTTATTTCTATAAGCCGAATATTAAAAATTGAGATTGTTTTCGGAACCAGTTTTAATTACAAATACTATATAGATATAGCGATATAAATACGGCATCGATAAATATATATATATCGATGATAAAGCGAGGTGTTTTAAACGAATGGTCGTAAAGCGGAGGTCTACTTTATTGTGTTAATTAATCGTTATAGCCTGTTGTCGTTTTACAAATAGATCAAGGCTGAAAAGATAACACAAGAAGCAAAATTAGAAGCTATAAAAACACTTCATTTCCTATTCGATAACACGTATCAATTAATCAAAAGTATTTTAAAACGTTATTGTATAATTAAAAAAACATTGTCAGATCTTTGGTATGCACTCAAGGTTTACATCATTCAACAAACACCCAAAACATATATCATTTCTGCATTTTTATTTGCAAAATGCACACACTTTACGTGTTCCCTTTATTAAGCGCTCGAAACAGATTTTTCCCACTTAATCGTCCATTTTTGAGTTTTTTTACGAGAAAAAATGACAAAATTTATATGTAATAAAATATAACTGAAAAATTGAAAATTTAAACAAAAAATAAGACTCAAATATCTCGCAAGTTTAAACTAAGTTTTTTTTTCCTTCAAAAGTTTCATCAGAAAGGTCGAGAGACGTCGAAAATAACATTTTCCTTCGGATAGAAACGTCATAAAATCGACCGTAACTCGTTATTAAAGTTCCTAGAAACTCGTCATATATAAAGGAAAAAAGATTAAATTAGAAATTATCCATTATTTTCTCGGTAAAACCCTGAAAAGTGAGACATAAAATTGCGATTAAAAACGTAAAACCTAAATTACTATACTAAATAAGGTACCGTAGGATTTTTTCAAAATAATAATAGTAACCTCGACACGCAAAAACGAATCCACAATAGAATAGTAGAGTCGTTACAAGGGCGTTTGACCCCGTATGACGCACAATATGTCCTCTTCTAAATAATGGAAAAAAGACGCTAGGATATAAAATATGCGAGACCCGACTCACCGATGACGTCAGCATTCACGCGTCCTAACATCCGAGAGAGGTCGTTGACATCTACACGAGTTTTAAATTTTTCGTTCGAACGTACTGTACGACAAACTGTCATTCGTTTATTAATATTCGGAGATAAGAAATTTAAAAATTATTATCTTTCGAATTAATTTATCAGCAATTCTGGGTTTTTCCAGTTGATTAATGTAAAGAAATTCAAACCAACCGGAGCTATCTATGCCGCTATCGGGGAATACTTACTATTATTCTTATTAAAAAAAACAAATTAAATACTTAAAATACCTTTTAAAATTAAATAAAAACGTAAAAAAAATAATTATAAAATTTTAAACTTCGAAGAATTATCAGAAAAAGTACAGAATGCGCGCGCGAACTTCTGTTGTTGTTCTTTTTAATTTTAAATTTATTCGTTAAGTAAAACTTATTCTAATCATTAAATTTATATGAAATAGATAATCTACTCCTTAATTATTTTCATATTTAGTTTTTCTTTTTAATTAAAATATTCAAACATATTTATAAACACGATAGAAATTTTTATCGTAGGTGGAGCGACGGTGCCTAAATTTATCTCAAATTATTTAGTTAAGCGATTTTTATCGTTATATTAATGGAATATAATATTAATAAACGGAATAAATTCTTACCTTCGAAAATTATTTTACTTTTCGGCAACTTTCATCGAACCAGAACCCGACGGTCCACTCGAAACTGATTCATTTTTTTTGTGACGTCACGACGGCAGCCCTCTAGTGGGCAAGGGCAAACGTACCGAATTCGACCTACGCCTAAATATGTTGCTGGTCATTCTAGAATTTACTTTTGTTTGTACGACGACGCGTTTAACCAGTAATAAACCATTATTTAAAAGAAATTAATTATGATATCTATCAAATAAAAAAAAAACAATACAAAAATGATAGCCACGGTATCGAACAAAGGGCGAGACGCGTTTTTCAATTTTTAAAAGTAATAGCCTCGTAAATGTTCCGGTTCGGATACAACACGAAAATTTCGATACTTTTGTATTGTTCGAGTCTTTATTTAGCTTCGTAAACCTCTCTGTAATTAAATTTAATTATTTTCTTATGAATTTTTTAAAATGCACTAAAAGAAAGGTCACTCTATCTATACAATGGTTACAAAAAAGTGAAAATTATGTACGGAAACGCGATTTCCTATTATTTTAAGGTGTCAAATAGTTAAAAAAGTACTTAAAATTTGAGTTTTAAACCATTATTTTTAATCAAACACCCTAATTTTTGGTACAAAACACGAAAAAGTCATTTTTGAGCAGGCGAATATGCAAAATATTATAAACAAAATTAAGCCGTAAATAAAAAGGTAGGCTTTATTTTTTGGCGACGTTATCCCGTATATAAAATGGCGGTCCGAGTAATGATTTTTCGACATTTAAGATAGCTTTGATACGTATTTAAAGAATCGACCGTGCCGTGTATCTGTTTAAAGAAATTGCTTAAGACTCGTACAATTGCCAGAAAAACGTTCCTTTGTCTATAAATAGTTATATTTCCAACCGGCATTACAAACTAAAATGAATTTAATTCTAATTTAATTTAATAATAATCCGACTTAATTCCTTTACGTACCGCATTTTTTCCAGATTTTAAATTAAGGAAGAGACGTTGAGCCGTTTGAAGAAAATAATAAAAATTTGGCCGAGTAGTTACTAAAATTAAATTTTTTTATTTTTCTTATCGGGGAGGATGTATTTTGTATAGCTGACAGGCCAAGGGTAACAAGGCTATTGACTCGAGATGTGGGTCAACGGGTTAAACATAAAAATTCATCTTTCTTATTAATTAAAATGGGTTTTCATTTTTAATTAACCATGAAAAATGCCGCTGTTTATTAATTAATTAAAAGAAAAATTAAATTTTCTTGTTTTCCACAGTAAGTTACATAACAGTTCTTCTTCATTCACATAGACATGTGTCAGTGTAAAAGAGTATCGTTTACTCTGTCTAAAAATGTTATCTGGACTATTTCCGGAAACAGCGAAGATGCGCACACACTTTTTATTAATAAAAATCTGCAGAAAACACTTATATATACAAAATTTCCAATTTTTAATTTATATATTTAAATTTAAACAGAGATTTTTTATTGCCACGTGTTAAATTCGTTAATTTTTTTCGGGCAATAATTTGATTAAATTTAATTGTCGTAGAAGGTAATTAATAGTTTAATAAACGTTAATTTTGCACCGGTATAATAATCTCCCTACGCAAATTAATTATTAAGATGAAAAAGTAACCATTTGTCCATTCCGGATGCAGTGACCCACGTTAAAATAAAGGGCGTTTTCGTAACCGTTGCGGCGACAACACTTCCTCTGTTTAAATATCTAGGACTATTTACACTTAAGTAAATACTTAACACGATAAATTTCGTTATTTGCACTCGTACGCTATATAAATTTTCAAATTTAATTTACAAAATTAAAATATATAAATTCGCCCACGTAATATATCTAACTTGAAGTACCACATTGCGCGTCCCACGCTACTCACCTCGCGTGTTATTCACCCCTTTCTCTTTCTCTATCATTCTACAAAGGGCAACAACCACAACATAACCTACAATTGTCTGACGTAACGAAAAAAGACGAATCGAAGATACAAAAAAAACATAGAAGACGGGTGCTCCGAAGTTTCCTTCCCGGCGAATCGGAGCCTTCGAAAACAATAACCTCCGATTCAAATCAAACTTAACGGGTGGAGAAAACGGTTTAAAACCAACCACGCCCAAATTCGATCACAAAAAGCCTTTGTCTATCTTTCGAAAACAATATACGACCATTTTTACCTTGGTTACAGGGTGGCATGTCATTCGATATCGCGTTACCGACTCCGAACACACCTATCGATCATAAAACGTGCCTTTTTTTACGAGCTATCGGATTATAAACAAACCGACCAAAAAAAAGCCGTGTCTGGTTTAAAAAAACCCAATTTCCACTCCCTTTTTACTAAATTATCGAGCATTTATTTAATAATTTATTCGGTCTCGCAGGTGGTAGACCTACTGGGAAGGTTGAATAAGTGATCGAGGACACAAACGAAGCCAAGTCACGGATTAGAATTAGAAAACGTTGGCTTTGAGACAAAAAAATAAAAATAAAAGAACACTCTTCTAGACAATAGAATATTTTTTAAGAATCGATTTTTAGTTTTAATTCGTTTCAAAAAGTCGGTTAATTAATAAGAACGATTTAAGTCATTTTTTCGAGAGGTGGAAGACGTTCGCATCCGTACATTAACTCGGACCGGATCCCCCTTATAGCCGGAGGTATTCGCTGTATGGAGGTTGGTCGGAGTATTCGTGGAGAGAGAAGAGATTATAATTAGTTGGAACTTACCTTGCGCGTCCTATGTGCAGTTGGCGTCGGCTACACATCCACGTAAACGCAAGACGATCGCGCGCAACATTCCTCCCAGTTGGTAGCACATCAACTGCCTCGAATCATTCCAAAGGCAGTCGGGCATGCGCAAATGTAAGAGTCTCCCAGTAGACGACGCCAACTAATCAGTGAAAGTTTGTTGTCACTTTCATAATCGTGGCAAACCCTTTAACCTGGCCGACATTTTTAATTTTTCTCCAAAGACTTTTCAACAATCGTTTTCCTTAAGCATTTCTTGCCATTTGTTTTTCCTAACTAGGCTATTTTTTCATCCCTTTAATTCGATATTTCTATGTGGAACACTAAGTAGAAATAATGTCGCGGCGGTGCCCTTTATTAGCGGATTTTTCTCCGTTTTTTACCTATGAAAACCTGCATATTTTACCCACCTTACCCCACGGAGATATCTGCGCATTCTACTTATATTTTCTCGTAGTTTCCGGCATATTTTATCTTCCTTTATTCATAAATATCTACGCGTTTCATTCACCTTTTACTCGTCGATATATGAGCATTTTATTCTCCGTTCATTCGTTACTTTAACGGCGTTTTTATATCGGATTTAAGTAAAAAATCTTCTCGTAATTTCATAATATCTAAAAGATAATCGAAGAAACAGGTACTGTACGAGAGAAGAATTTACATATTATATTTTAAAAAAAGTATATCATCGACACGTTTTATCAGCCAAGTAGGTCAGAGCAAATAAATCCATTAGACACTGCGACTATTTTCGTCTTTTCTACTTTGACCCACCGAGTTTACCAGAAAATCGATTTTATAATTCTCTCCCCCTTTCTTTACATTACATATATTCGCGCGATCTCCCTCCTCCTCGTCGTAACCGTCGATTACCAGACAAAATCTTCCATTCTAAATGAAAGGTGATAATAAACGAGTCGACGTAGTCCTATCCTTGTTTTGAGAAAGTTTGTTTATCCAACAATAAAAGCGAGTGTGAAGAGAGAGGAGTTAATTCCTTCCCAAACATACGTCTATATATAGAAATGAAATAAGCAATCCGAAATAAGAAAATAGATGGTAGAGATTTATCGAGCCGACACGCAAAATTCTCGATGCGTGGGGAGAGACGAAGATCCTCCCCTTCCCATACTCAAAGAATCGTATTTAAATGAGCCTTCCGCTTAATTGGATCGAGCTCAAAGAAGCGCGTAAGTAAATGCGCTCCTTTGCTTGTCACGTGACGTCGATCACCCACACGCGATATGTGTCGGTAATACGTCATTTTCAGGTGAAATCTAAACACGTAGGTACTATTTATGTTCATAAGGTAGTTTAAAGGAATGATGAGATAGTTCCCATGTGGTCTAATTGACAGGATACCTGGCTTTAACCCAGGGGGCCCGGGTTCGAATCCCGGCATGGGACGATGGGTTTTTTACACCTTTACGCAAGCTTTTCTTATGTATTTTAAGGAAAATACACTAACGAAGTTTAAGAAAATATTCCTGTGGCTGTTTTTTATTTACGCCGCTCCTCGATAATTAATTACGAAATCGACGTTGGAAATTTCTTAGGTACGAAAGATACGGTTTTCGATACATCGATACGAGTCATAGTGAGTTGACCTTCGTCAACCGTTGTGTGCCAAGGAGAGCTACTTTTCTCTACCTTCCTACGCACGACGAGGAATGGATGCTGCTGAGTTGACAAAAATTAAAACTAGAAAGCATAATTTTAGTTTACACTTTGTCGAATTAAAAAGAAAACGCGTATATTTGGATTTATATAATAATTAATAATATTTATACCTTAACGACTTAATTTTAAATATTATTCGGACGATTTTTAGATATTTTTCATTCTCCTACACTCTACAAAAGGCACTTCTCATACACCTGATTTTATGTTTCTAAGGTCTTTCGGAGTGTGTATGTGTGTGTATACACCAGACGGCATAATGTATATTCTAAGATGCCAAGACGGCAAAATCTAAATAAATAAATAAAATGAATACGCTAAAAATATTTATAATTATCGAAATGTATATGTAGGTTACGTGTAAATAATTTGCGCTTTAAAAATCTCGTATATAAGCAGTTAGTGAACTTAAAAGTCGGGTAATGCTTTCGGTGTTATCTAATGTTTGATATTGGTGCATTCGACGGTTGACGGATTTGATTTAAAGCGAGATCGTCGCTTAAGGTTTTACATGAACGTTTAAAAACATAATCAAGCGCGTTTAAATTAAAAAAAAAGAAACTTTTAAAGCTTTATATTTTAATATAAACACTCTTTAAATGCGGCTGACAGCGAGTAACGCGTTTGGAATGGATGGAAAGTAGACCGCGAGTTTGATTACTTGTACTGTAGGTTGTATGGCAGAGATTACTTTTGAATATAAAAGAATCGTCGGAA